TTAAGTTTTCTTGACTCGTTAGCTTGAATTTTGTTGTGACGATGTTACTTCGCTTTGATGATGTCCGTCATATGATGGACGAAAGCTTAGCACCTTTTCACCGGAATCGAAGGAGATTGCCTCGGATACAACGTCAGCATGAATCTTCCAGTAAAGCCAATCGACAGCTTGTCAAGAGGAATCCGTCTTCGTCTTCTGGTAAGCCCGACCTTCGAATCTCTTCACCCAACACTTTCACTCGAAATGGAAGTAAGCTCAACAATAATGACATTTAGCCGAGTTTAGTATGCACATCCTCTTAATAAGTACTACCTATCTCCTTTATGCTTGAAGTTAACACAAGAAGCTCAAAAGTCTCCACTTAAAATGTGATTTTTTTTTCTGTTTCAGAGAATCGAATAAAACACGAATGCTCAGCATTGAACAGCTTCATTATGGCACAGGAAGGTCTCTTTTGTCAACGCAACATCAGATAAGACTTGAAAGAAGGTCAGTATATCAAACAACAAGTTCAGGCCCTACCGCACAATGTCTAACCTACTGTCCGAGAGGGCTAATATAATGACTTGAGCATTATTCGAGAAAAAAATTTATTTACATATATATACTCGGCATACTTAAAACAAAAATTTTCAAAGTACACAGATTATACAAGGTCTCTATGCAAAGGTTATGTCAAATGTAGTTTCCAACTCAGAGACATTTTTGTTAATATTGGCTGACCTCTGGAGAATCGAATGACCAATATTTTCAGTAATTTTGTTTTCTCCAATCTTTTGCTGCAATCTTTATGCAAGACTATACCACTGAGTTTGATTTTTGGCCTAATCTAGCTAGTTAAGACTCCATAATCAGAGCTGTATTTTATAAATTAATAGCTTGTAATAGATATAGATCTAAAAAATGCCTTCACTATGCCACTGAATGACTCGGCATGAATGCTTTAATGTCTGATGAACTACCATAAACCAACTCTAAGCAAAAAATTTTGTACTGATTATTGACTACCTTCCAGCAAAATTATCACACGATTACAAAATATTCTAAATAAGTAATTTAAAACAACGAAAACAATTTTTAACCATTACTTCTGTTCAACATTCACAAAGGTGTATCTTTATGAAATATAGCTGAGTCCAGAGTACACTATAAAAAATTGTATGATACAGACCGCTTGGATGAGCTACCATCAAATCTGGGCCGATCGTCACATCTACACTAAGGAATATTTGTGTAACCTGAATACTACAGAGCGATGCCCAATGAGGACTCGAAATCTTATTTGGCGATCAACTTCCAGAACACCAAAGTCTTTAAGTCTTTTCAACGTAGTTTAGTGAAATAACATAACGGAATATAACTTCTCTGGGAATGTACCACGTCCACTGTCCGAATCTGGAAATGATCATGCATACTATGGACTCCAGACCAGGAGCGTTCCTCTAGGTCTTCCTACCAATATTACCAAGTTGCGAAAACAAGGTCAAACAAATTTTATACAACGAAAGGAGACCGCAATCATACAAAAATCCACACCATCTTGGTCTTAATACCTTCGGTATACCTCTCAAGTTCCAGACTTGGAAGGTCCGCTCGCACTAGTATATAATGTCTGGAAATCTGTGACTCAAATGTAATCGTAAAAATGATTGGGTTACAGAATCAGTGCTTATTTAAAACGCATTTCGGTGCTACTCTGGAAAATCTTTACACAGAGGTGATAGTATACATGAAGAATCGGAAACCTCATTCCGGCCTAAGATGAAGTATGTGGCTTCGGGTGTTAGAATCCGAGTCTTCTGAGATGTGTATACTTTGGTACAGAATACAATCGAGTATAAAATTTATATTCAGATTGATTAGATTTCGATACCATCAGTAGCTTTTGAATAAGAATTGGTCCACCCTAGATTCTGATATTCGATGTAAAAATAAGTAATGTAGCCTAATAAAATGGCAAAACACACGTTTAGGAGCTGCATTCACCTAATTACATTTAGGATGATCAAGTACTGTTGGTAAAATTTTCACGCAATGATATGAGTAGGTCTCATGTTTCCATGGAATTTAACATAGCTTCGCTTTTTATAAGGTAATATCATACAAGCTGGACTGCGTTTTAACCTCGCACAGGTTTCATTGCACCCCCTGCGGGACTCGAATCCTGATAATGCAACGTATAATCTCGAAACATTAAATCCTACTTCACACTACTACGAATACTGTAATGTAACTGGAATCGACTACCTTACTTATTTTTCTTTTGTTAAGTAGGTCTTCGAGACTAACAGTATATTTGGTATTAGAGGTATATTCGCCCTAGTTTTTAAATGTGATAAAGGACTGGTCCTTTACGTCTCATATTTCCATTGAATTTTAGATAGCTTTGTCTGATCTTTTGACAAAATATCACATTACTTAACGTTATGGTTTCTCCAAGTAGCAGATGAAACAAAGAAAGACTTCTAATGTGCCCATAGGCCATAAGCGTGAGATAAAATGGCTTTTATTGCTTCCAGAGTGTCTCGGTGCACAGATACAAATCAACGTTAGTTAGGCTTCGGGGGTGTTCACTCAATATAAATTAATATTTATTAGCATCTTCTCAATTACCCGTATTACTTGATACACCATTAACATTATAACAAATGAGTAAGTTCGAAGGCTATCATTAGATCTTTATTAAGTATTCGTAACTTCTTTAAGTTGCTTTAGTTGATGAAAGGCCTGATGGTGAATTGTCCACATGTTAATTAAGTTCCTCGTGGAGATTTTTATGTATACAGTGACCCGAGCCCTTTGACTAAATAGGCTATCGCTTGATTTTCTACCTTTGCCAAGGAGCATTCGAAACCGTATGGGAGGTCCAACCGGCGGCAAGCTGCTTCGCTCCAACGGCGAGGCAGGTCTGACTGGAATTAGCAGTGTAACCGGTTGGAATGGTACTCCTGGCGGAGCTGGAGTGGGTCGCTCTGGCCCGGTTGCTCTGGCTGGTTCGGGTGCCCGGGTCGGGGGTCCTTCTAGTGGCAGCGGAGGATGGGGCGGAGGTCCCATGGCGGATATGAGGGGTAAATTGGGCTCCAGAGGTGTGGGCGTGCCGACGGGCGCTAGGGGAGCTGGGCCTGTGGCCATGGGAAGCGAGAAGGGGGCCACTCGGAGCGAGGACAGGACGGACCATTTTGACATTAAAGTGCTCCAGCAAAAAGCACAATTGGCTGAGATCAAGCGGTAAGTTAATTATGATTAATTTTTAAAAACGCAATGCTTTTTTGCCATGTTTGTGCGAGTAGGGTTGTATTTTGACGAATCTTTTCAATTACAATTACAGCGCTCACTTCACTCTAGAATAAATGTGTGCGATATAAGTATTCGTAAGTAGACCCAACGACGAGACGATGATGGATTCATCTTTGCCAGCTGTTGATTGGTTTTGTCGAAACATTTGTGCTCAACCGGCCCTCGAGATAGTCTCCTCCTGTTACATAACGAATGTGCTACGCCCTCATCTGACATGTGACAGCCATCTTCAAATCTGTGTACGATTCTTGAAACCGCTTCAAGATAAATAGTCAAGCGAACTCACCTGTAATATATTCGTATGATCAAAATATATGTGTACACATACTCGGATCATAGAAATATCTAGTTGGGTATAGATAATTCAGTTATTTCATGTCGTATTCAATTCTAGAAGCACACAATTATGTTTTTTCGTGTGAATGTGCATACCCCTTTGATTATGTGTTGTAACAGACCAATGACGAATGCACTAAGCAATTAGGACAGAACTTAACATCGGGCATAAGCTATCAATATGAGATTATTCACCCAATTTCGTTTAAGATGATGAAGGACTGGTAGAAGAAGAATTTTCCTCTAAGGTGATGAAGGAATGGTAGTAGAATTTTCTCACAATGATATGAGTTGAGCTGACGTTTCCATTGA